CGTCACTGCGTCAATAGAAGGTCCTTACGTTCATGTGACGGTTAGTGGCTGGTAGCTTGCTCCATTGGTATAAGAAATTCTGCGATAAACACACCAGAGTGCGAAACTGCGGTGGAACCAACACACCTGTAACCCGCAGTTAGGATGGAGTTGTCTGGCTGCTCCCGTGCAACCATCTGAACATCTTTCTGGAGACCCATTGGAAGAGCGTTGTGTACAGACTCAGACTCTTCTTGTCGTTCATGTTTAGGCAAAAGAGATCCTATTGTTTCAGACGCAAACATTAATGTTGATAATGCCCCCCTGCGGATTTGGATCATCGTACATTATCATGTTATAAGTTTTCCCTTTTTATAGAATAGTCAATAGTGTAGACTTGTTTGGAACTATTAAGCAATTTGCCAGAAGTACCCGTTACAATTAATAATAAAGTTTAATGTGACTTGTTTGATCGTCTTCGTATGAGCGTCTTTGTTCTCGGAAGATGACTATCAATTTGCTGTCTTTGCTAAACGCTATCCATTTATCAACCTGTTTGGGCGAGTTGGCGTGCACAGGCCTCCCGATAACCTTAGGTTTTGCTAAAGGTCATGACATTTGAATCGTTAACGTTACGAGTCTATTTCAAATGCCCACATTGTTACATCAGCGCCACATGATGGCGTGATGCAATAAAGACGCAAACCAAACCCCAAAAGTCGCTTCCCCTGAGACAACATTGGCGCCACATCCTTATCAAAGTTCAAGTTTTTTAGTGATTGTTTCCGCACCACTTGGCTCTTCTGGCTTGGAGTTTTCAACCGCACAGCCTCTGTATCCTTAAGCGATTTATAGATGGCCTGGGCGTCTCTGGAAATCGTCTTTGGACCGACTTGCCAATAAACTTGTTTCCCTTCCTTGTCTGTGCAGCCGTTTGACCCTCGTAAAGGTTTAACAAGTGCAGAATCGCATCACTGTTCAGCAAGGAATTAAACGGGCTCCCTTTTTATGGTCTTCACTGTAGCGAAAGAGTTGATTGAGGCGACGTAGTGCAGGCTGCGGGCCTGGCCGGGTCTGTCCGCCGCCCGTGCAGACAGGATCGGACTCGATTACATCCGGGGGACGACTTTAACGACGCGCATTTTCACTGTCTTAAACGCACCGGGAGGCTTAATGGAAGCCCGGTACAAATCGGGAGAATTTTGGCGAGTTGACAGTTCAGGTCCATTTGTCTCGGACCGGAGCTGGAGTAGTCGGCCGTGATGACGGACACGCGGCGACGGGCGGGCGGGCGGTGTGCGGCCGGGCAGGAGGCGACCCTTCAGGGGGAGGCCACTAAACAAACAGCACTATTATTGTAACGCGCACCGCGATTATTACTACAGGTTCCAGGAGGGCTGCTTACTTTACGCCCCATAAAACTTCGACCTTATAACTCCCCGAATCTATTTCCCTGGGATCCTCGTGAAATGTTTTATCGAGTAAGTAAAGCCGAACGTAACAGCTCCAAGATCAGGTCCAGTCTTAAGGGTCTAGAGATCAAGGTCAAGACGTTTCATGTAGTGGGGGTCAGTGAACTGCCACAAATGGAATTGACAACCTTGGTGAAGCTGGAGCTCGAAGTGTTAGTCTTGGTTCGTTCTGGTTCAGCACGACACGGTAATGCCGAAGTGTGCTGTCCTTGACAAGCGCTGGTCTAAATTGTCTCCCGGTGTTTTCATAGTTTATTGTTGTACACCCAAATCCACTAGCAGTGGTGCCCTCACACGTCCGTACGCCAAACCTGAAGGGCATGATTTAGGTACAAATATTAGATAAAACAAACATTGAAAATAGCTACATATCAAAAACAATCAATGTGCAAGACGTTTACAAACAATGGCGCGGGAACAAGAATCTTACCTTATAGTCTGATAACGCATTGAAGGAATTACTGGCTCAAGCAATTAATGTCATGGATGATAACAATATATATGTCGAGTTTTTTTATCAAAGAAAATCACTTCTAGAAACTTTCACACGTCAAAAGAGCTGAATTGAGATCAGGGTGGGAACAGCTGCTCCCAGTCAGGTAGCTGTCACGTGAAAACTGCGATATCACCTCGTCTTTCATCGCAGCCTCTCTGTAATTCGTCTGCCTTTGTCCGTGCTGCAGTCCCGGGCCCGGGGAGCCGGCCAGCCCGGTTTGTGTATCCTGTAAGGATTAACCACGACCTAGTTACGCCAACCTCCACAAATATCATAATTGATTGTTGTGTATAATTTTGGTTTCAATAAGTTGGGTGGATAAGGAACAGGCTTCCTGCATGGCGTAGGGTCCGCTGTGTTAGGGTGGAGGTTGGAGAGCAGGTGGCTGACAAGTGAGGTAGATAATTCTTTCGTCTGGGATGAAACTATGGATCAAATCAAGTCGATGCGCACCATTTCCGTGTAATGTTACATTTTACCTGCATTACTTGACGTTCGTAGTCAACATTTAAAGGTGTTTGCGTAGCTACGTCGTGAACCTTGCTGGCTTCCGGAGTGACGATATCGGACACTATCCGTTGCCGTTTGGAGAAATAAGTTATTGTATCAACCTTGTCTTCATCCTTCCCGATGACTGATTATCAGGGTGACAAGGCCGATTAAATTTTAGAAACTTTTACCCTGCTTGACGGAGTGAAATCATCAGATGTCGTCCGAAAGTTTTCTGATACCGTAAAAACTACCAGTTCAGCTGGAGGCTTCTCCGATGTGTTTCGGGCCTGGACCCAAACCAAACGTCCTCTCAGGCACACTCGTCTGGAGTCAAAGTCTTAAATCGTCTGCAGGTGTTCAAGTCATTGGGAAAGATTCTCATATTGTCTAGAGTCGCTTCCTTAGGAAGTAAAAAATATGAATGTTAATGTAATGTCTTCAAAGCAATTGCAGCCGCAATTTCAAATACCAGCGGTTAAAGAGACACTTGTCGGTGTGGTTCCACTGGAAACTCTCCATTGTAATTGGTGTTTAATCATGAGAGAATCGGTTGCAAGCTTAAGTGATATAAACCACATCAAGGCTGCTGTACGCATTTGACAATAAAATGCTTCTGTTGCTGTAAGCCGCGTTGATAGTTCGTTTTCTCCATGTAGAAGTCGACTAGTCATAGTTTTCCCTTTGACATGCACTTGTACAAAATATTTCTGTCCTTGAATAAGCAGAAAGGAGCGACCACACACTTAACTGAGATACGTTTCCATCAGTTCACTCTCAGTAAATGTTTCCAATAAACTATGTGATTTTAATACATTGTGTAATACCATGTACATATGTACTTCATCTATTACTCCTTGGTTATGGATGGGGTGGCACCGATACATACATTGTACAAACTGAGCAACCTTTTTTTTAATTTTTCGTTGTTTCTTTCTTTTCGTGCCTTGTATCGATAAGAAGAATTAAGGTTCTATCTTAGCCTATAACTTGTCGACATTTCGGAGACAATAATAATTCAACTAGTGCAATGTATATACTTTTCAGCTCGCCAAGTAGTCGGTGGTTTGATGGTGAGAAGCCATCTGGTTTAGTGTTCTGGCGGAGCAGTGGTTCCGTCCGTGGTAGGACCTGCCCGATAAAGCCGCCAGCTGCAAGGCGCTCTTCACTGCTACAACCGGTATCAAGTTTTATCAGCGCCAATTTGAAGTTCATTATTACCTTTTATGATGGTATCTGCGCTGGCCTGTGTGGTCCCCGGGCCCGGTCGGGGCCGGGGCTTCCTGGGAATCGTAATTAGTGGCAATTTACGTACCAGTCCTGGGACATAAAACCCGCCTATGTCGGGAATTTTACCGCTCATCCAGACATAATTCCTAACGCATTAGCCTTGGAGATGACAGACACCGCACGCTTCTGTGTGAGTGAATCACGGCTGGAGGGGGAGGGGGGAGGTGCTGCTCTGCCAAACCTGTTCTTTTCTCCTTTTTTACAGAGGGAGAACTAACAGGCAGGTCGTGTCAACCGCTGCCTCCTGCCTACTACTTCCACAACAGCCTGCCGTCATTAAACCTCTGGCCCTGGCAGTAAGTAGTCTGCAGGGAATCCTTAAATAAAAGGTACTCGGCACCAGATCATATGGCGCGGTCTATGCTCAAAGACTGGAAGGTGAAGCAAAGGTCTGAAGCGCCTCCGCTAATGAGCCAAATGGAACATGGTGGTCTTAGCGGAACATCACGCGATGTGGGCCGCTGGCCGCCTGCCATTGGCTCGGCAACAATGGCCACCGGAACCACGGAATTTGTTGCATTTCGGAAGTATGCTTTGTGAGAAAATCTGATCGCTTATTATTGGGACTCCGCACCCGTTTGTCGCACGAGCGCGCGCGCGGGATCGGCGTCCGTTCGTCTCCCAGGACCGCGACAATCACCCAGCACGCTGCAGCAGTGTTTACCGCGGAGCAGCGGCATGACAGGGTCCGTATGTCGGCTCTGTATATCGCGGGCCATCTCGGCAAAACGTAAACACATTAACCCCCAATCAGCTTGTTTATAATACGGGCAAAATTTATGACAAAATAAACGGACAAGGCGGACACGCAGTCTGACGGTACCCGGAGACGACGGTCTGCCCGCTCTAGGTCCTGTCAGTCCGAAATTCCACAAGGACTAGAACAGCGTCTCCAACTTAAAACTCACCGATTTCGGGTGACTTTTGAGCGACCCAACATTACCCTTGACTGTTAAACTTAAGTACAAATTGACGACACTATGGACGGTTTGTTTAGCAAGAAACTTGGCCAGGGATCTGGTCAGAAATACTGTTACCACCGGCACATGGAGCCGTATAGCCCAGAACACCCCCATGAACAACCCGATCTTCCCAACCTCTTCATTCCGGGCTACTAAATCGGTTTGTTTGGTCTGTCTAAAGCTCCTGACTGTAAATGCCCGCCTACATGTAATTCAATGAAAGTAACGACTCTAACCTATATACACAAAACATTCAGTCATCGGCTTCATAATCTTTGGAAAAATAAACATTTATTCAATTTTTTTTCTCCACAGAGATATCTAGGCTATTTGCTGTATATTTTCTACAGTATGTATAATGGTACCGTTGGGTCTTTCAAGGCTAACAGCCGTTGCGACAAGTCTAGCTGTACAAGGTGGCACGAGGCACGGAGTTTTGCGTCTTTCCTACTTTTCTTATCGACTCGTGACTCTACAGCCCACTGCTGGGATCGTTTCGTAATTGGCTTAAGTTGTCCTATAGGTTAATCTCGAAGCATATTTGCGACTACGGCTTGTTTTACTCGGTCTATGTCCATGAGCTTTTTTACGTCTCTGTTCGCCGCACCGATCATTAGACATAATGAAGGAACTCAATAAGACGTACAAAACACGCAGGTGTCACACATCTGCTTACAGACTAATGTGAAGTTGATGACGACGCAGGTACATTTGCCATAAAACGTCGTACGATTTCTATGTAGTAGGATTTTCAATCAAACCAACCACTGGCAATGATAGCGTTTTCCGTAACCAAGCAGACAGCTGAATTTTGTATGATACATGCACGACTATCCAAGAATGCCCTAGATTGTGATCGTACATTCAAATGCACTTCGTGACGCTGCCACACTATGTTGCAAATGATAGATTCGTGACAAACATTCAGCGCTTTCTCTAGAAATCTACAGTAATGTGTTGCTGTAGATCTGAGGAGGATGAGCAAGCAGATTTTGATGAATCAGTATTCTGGTGCATGCCTGACGTCTGACATGACGTTTCAAGGACGACCCCGATGTCTTATGTCCGAAAACGTCGGAAGGGCAGGCCGATCGCGAAGCCGGCACGATGTTTCATATCTGCCTGCTGATTAGGCACTTCGGGAGTGCTGAGTTTACCTTTAGTAATTACATGCCGCCTTCTGACAACCTGAAGTAATGATGTGGTGACGTTATGCAGAAAACGGCTGTAGAAATAGTTGAAATTCGGTTGAAAATGTGGAAACGGTCCCGAAGGAGCCGGCCGTGCGGCCGTACACAGACCAGGTCCGAGGCTAATTGAACAGGTGACGGCAACCTTCAGCTCCGTGGCTCGGTCCTCGGCGCGGTTCTGAGACCCGGAGGGACGTCAAAGGCAGCGACTCTGCTGTAATTACTGGATATAGTCGCTTATTAATGGCCATTGTGGATGCCGGGATTACCAGCACTTTTAGGCACTTACATAATGGCCACTGGGACGTCACTTGTCGTGTGTACAAAGGCATTTCTGGCCATGTTGGATACAATTACTAATAGTTAACTACGAACACTAATATAATGACCATGTTGGATCCAGTCACATGTTGGCACGTATTAAGGATAGAAAGGCGTGTTAAATAAAGAAATTCTCTTACTGGCATTTATAATTGATAGAATAATAGTCATTTTGGTACATCCACACATAATATAGCCATTGTATGTACAGTCAATTTTCGGCACTTACGGCCATATTATATACAATACAGTACAATACACTAAATACAGGCTCTTGTTGGCACTTATGCTGGCTACCTTGGATACAGTTTCTTGCCGGCACTTATTTGTGAGACCAAGAAGTCGCTATTGTCCGTAAGGCACATCGGCCGAGCCATTCAACTCCGGATGACTTGTTGTTTGTTCCGTTTTCCCTGCGCCACTCGCGGCACAGTCCGGGTTCACATGTTCTACTGACGTGTCCGGAGAATCCTCATCATCATCTAGACACTCTGCGTCAATGACGTAATCGTCCTCGTCCTTGCCGTCGGTGTCCGCCACGCTGACGTCGTCGTCGTCGTCGTGTTCTCCCCGCGTCCCCGCGAGTTCCTCCCCGCACGGGTCGGGCTTGTCCCCCGCCACCTTCTCCCGCTCCTGCCGCTCCTTCTCCTTCATGGCGTTTCTCCACTTCATCCGCCGGTTCTGGAACCAAACCTTCACCTGCCAAAATAAACCAGAGTGTTGTAAGGGACGCGCTGTTTTTCATCTGCGTTCCCTGTCATTTCGGTCGACGCTTTTGTACCACAGTGTAAAGATGATGCTCCCTTCCACAAAACGGTACCAACGGTAACCAACCTGACATGTATATTATAACTGTAATTTTGTACGTACTGTGATTCCCATGTTTTTTCATGTACATGTTGTACCTTAGCTATAGTGTGCAAAAATAAACCATAGAGTTGTTAGTGACGCATTGTTTTTAATCCGCGTTCGCTGTCGTGTTGGTTTCGTGTCTTATATTGCTGAGTGAAGCGTGTTTGTGGCTGGTTGTCGGATGGCGGTTTGAGTGGCCGGCCGTGGCCGTGAGACTGCCGATGTGACCGGGCATGTCGGCTGAACTGCACACAATACTGACAGGACAATTGTGAATAGTTGCCCTGTCTGATCTCCAAGCGGATGTATATCGTTTTTGGCTCGTTTTTATATGTCCTTTAAAGAGTAACTGAAACTAAATCTCATCTATCATCCATGTAAAAATTTGGTCTTCTGTGTTGTTGTTTTTCTTTGAGCGCAAAATAAAGGTAAGGGCATGAGAAATTTGGAGAAAGAAAAAAAAGTTAACGTTTTCTTTTAGACTCGATCATTCGTCGTACAATTTTGAAGCAGACAGAACCAACCGCCGACAAGGACCTAAGGCAGCCTTTTCCAGTACAAGACAGATGAATTTTACAGGACACATGAACGACTATTCCAACAAGGCACTCAGCTTGCGACCGTACGACAATGACACGACGTTTGTGATGTTAGGATAGAAAGCTTGTTCCTGCCCACCTGTGCGTCTGTGAGGCCCAGCATGGAGGCGAGCTGCTTGCGGTCCGGTTTGGTGACGTACTTTTGGATGTCGAAGCGCTTCTCCAGACCCTTCCGCTGCAGGTTGGAGAACACGGCCCGAGACCAGGTCCGCTTCCTCTTCGGCTGGGAGTTCTGCTGGGACTCCGCGTTCAGGATGGCGTACGGACCTGCGGGACGGGAGGCAGTGGATGGGATTATTACTCGACAATGGTATAGGATACAATGTGTGGCTCTTAAGCTCCAATACTACAAAGCTAATGCATCCTACATTAACAGCTATAACTTATCATCGATATAAGTATGTATGAGTTACACTATTGTCATGTTTAAATGATTTTGGAATGAAATACAAAGATCTGTGTACCAGACATATTGATTGTGACAGACACGAGGGTTGGTACAGCTCTTATATATAGGAACCTATGGCTTCAGAAGTTATGCTTTTCCTCAATAAAGCGATCTGTTATATACAGTCAAATCTGCACAAGAAGACCATTCAGCTAGCTGCAGGGGCCGATAGAATCTGGTCCACATGATCTTATGATCTTATGATCACATGACAGGTGGTCACCATAGACAGGATTCTTAATGCTTGTGTCAATGGAGAAAAGTATCTAAGGGACCAACCTGGATCGGATTCAGTTTTCTACATTCTTGTGGTAACTTCAGACAATGCCAATGATTTCCTATCATCCCGTTTTAAGACACTAGATTGTGGCAAGCCCGGTTAAAGGATTTCTGGCAGAAGTTAGCTCAAGATTTTCAACCAGCTGCGACCTGCCACACAGACAAGCGACTTCTCCACAGCACGCCCAGATAAGATTTCTACCAAAACACGAGGCAGACTCTCTCACGAATCCACAGGGAAAGGAAAGAAGTTGTAGTTTTGTAACTACTGTCAGCGGCCGTCTGAGAGACACCGGGCCACCCAGGCGATAGTGGTCGGGCGGAGGCTGGAGGGAGCCGGGGAAGGAACGGGAGGTAACCTGGGTTTCCGACTGGACAAGATTCCACCAGACTAACAACGCATATCGTCACTCTAAAAAAAACTGTACTATGGCGCTAAGTGAAAACAGCATCTTAGTTTTGCTTGTAGCCACATAAACAGGTTATAGGCTATACAGATACAGATACAGATACAGAGTTTCCAACGTTTAAAACTTTGTTTAGTTTTTTGTTCATTATCTGCTTAATGCTGTAGCCAGTAGACGTGGTGTTGACAGGGCGGAGCGGTTGAGTCCTTGCTGCATTGTTACACCCCAGTGTCTTGGGAGATTTCCGACGCGCTTAAATTACCTTTCCTGATAAACGGTTAAACAACACGGTTATCGAACCAGTTTCCTCCGTTATAAGCGACGTGTGGAAAGGTTCGCGCTTCCAAAATAGAACTCTCTCCTCTGGGAGGAAGGGGAAGTTAGCTGCAGATTAGGTTTTCGAGCTGACGTAAGATTATTGCGGAGGAGTAGACGTTTGGTCAAGTTCCGGTCACACATGACTGACCATGACCTTCTCCAGACCATGGTCGGGAGTTGGTCGTGAGCAAGGTTGTCTGTGGTTGGGAGTTAGTCCACGAGGTCTCCTACTAGTCTTTTAAAATCGTCTGCGGCAACCGACTATAGATTTTGGAAAATTAAGGTCGGGAAAGTTATATTCTGCTAGGATGTGATGAGAGGAGCGAACTGGAGGAGGAATAGGATAGATTCCAGGCCACTCCCAGCCCAGCACCGAGCTTGGTTCGGGAGTGATCGGGGGAAAGTCATGGGAAGGCGCTGAATGTGTGACAGGGGTTTCAGCATCCCGGGATCAAGACATTTCCTTCGGGAACACGACATGTCTTATCTCTCGCTGCGACACGTCTGATATTGTTGTAGGCCGCCTGTTCTGTGTTGGATCGGACAGTGTCGCTCACAAACCCACCCGGGTGGAACCACACTACTGTGTTGTAGTGTCTGAAATGAGTTGATTCTTTCGGTCAGAAATTCGCCCAAATGGAACGCCACTACACGGAGACATTTTATTGGGTCGAACGAAATGGTAAGAAATAACCTACAGGTCAGTGTCACCTGCCTCTTACTTGTAAAGCAATAAATTTGGAACTGCGAAGGTGAGACTTCATTCGTTGTTAGTCTTCGCTCTACTTCTTCTGTTTACGGTTTACTTTAAAGCCAGCCTTCGACTATACGTTACTTGAGAAGGTTCTTTGCGTTGCCACTGGCTTTGGATGCCTTTGGTCAGTTCTTGGTCAAATGGTCATCAGCCGACATTATACCGTTTCTTCATCTTGGGTCATACCAACAGGTCGAAGTTTCTGTTCTCCAGTAAAGTGGCCGGGTGTTGTCTGTCTGACAAGTCTGCTACAACGTTACTTGCAAGAAAGTGAGGGAGGTTGTCCCACGCAAACAGTTTGTGTGGTTGTTGGTGTGCTTACTTGACCTCAACTGACAACTGTGCACATTAACTAATACGTGAAACATTGATTCAGCCACTGATGAAATGTTGTTGCACAACCAACGCTCGTGTGTAGTGTATTGGTGAGATACCCTTGCTGAGATACGGCATTGCCACGGTTGTTCCACCTGGAAATACGATGGCGGAGGGCCACGGTGGGAGGGCGGGGTCTTTTCGTCGTCGTAATCAGAGCTAAGGACACATTTCCGTGTTTCCATTGTCTTAACTACAAATCTAGGAATGACTTTATACATGCACTAAGTACATGCACAGGGCTTTAATTTTCCTCGCGTCATATACCATAGGCATAGAGTCTGGAAGTTTGGATTCAGTATCAACTGGATTTTAACGAAAACAATCAAGTACGGCGCAAAATCGGGGCCGTGGGAAAAAAGGAGGGTTTATCGAAACCCTACTATCTGTGACGGGTCATCACACAACGAGTAGATAGCCCGAAAAACAGCCTGGGACTTATCGCACAACTCAGCCGGGTCTGAACCTTCATCAGTCCATCGACAACCGTGCTCAATAACAGTGATGATACGAGTTCGAAAGAGCTCCCTATAACATTCAGTTCGGACAGACACATTTATCCAGTTACCATTGATTACCTGCCATGTAATATTCTACCTAGCCGTCTAACATTCATGGACATCGGACAAACACCTGGATTCCGATTAGTCACTATCAAGTCTAACGCAACTTTTAGAGTCCACTCGACCACCATGCAGGCACAAGTCTAAAGTAGTCGTCCCGACTGTCTTTATTATAGCCAAAAACTTGAATGGTTTCTCAAACAGTGATTCATTTCTATTTTTCCGGCTGTCAAATGCAGTGGAATCGTAGGAAGCTACAAGTGAGTGGAGATCTAGCTACATATTCATGTCATTCCGTTTTCCCGGCTTGGGGCTCACCGTATGCTAGCGTGTCCTGTGGGTCGCAGAAGCCGGGATAGTACAAGTCGGTGTGGAGCCTGTTGGACCACCGACCACAGGCGGGGTTCTTCTGTGTGCGCCTACCTGGGAGCACGTCGGCGCCGGGAGCCGCTGGGAAGTACGGCGGGTAGCCGGGGTGCGAGGCCGCTGGGACGCCGGGCTGCAGCTGGCGGGACGCGCCGTAACACAGGCCGCCTCGGGCCGGCTGGGACTGCGCTACTGCTGCTGCAAGAGCCGTCAGACCTGCGGGAGACGACACAGGGTCAGGAATGAGAAGTTGTATATACTTGGCTATAAACTAGTATGATCTGAAGAGGAAACGAAGACAAAACTTATTATCAGGCCTCCTCATATCTGTATAGTACTGGAACGACAAATCAGAAATGTACAGAGAAAGCACGACTATAAATGCGAGTGTATATAAATACATTTTGTTCCACCACATTTCCAAGGTAGGCTGCGACCACCGAGTGACCCAACGAGAGACATGAACGAATTTTATAGACAGAGAACGATTTTTTCTATGCTTTGTGTGTTTTGTTGTCTTTAAATCATCTTTGTACCGTGCATCATATTCTAATTATAAAATCTACTAAATTCAAGAGTCACACGAATCCACTTTTGGTCACTGTACGGTAGCCCAGCGATCGTTGAATAGTAAGTATAAAAGAAGATTTTTAATTTAAAGTCATTTGCCGAATTTGGAGTGTCCCATGTTAGACGCCCTACCTGTCAAAAAATTACTGGATGTTCAGTTAAGGTGTGTATGTTTTTCTGCATAAGGGAATGTTATGTAGTTACAAAGACTATTTGGCTTCCAAAAAGTGTCAAGATTGAGATTCCAAAGTCCCAGTGTCTAATCCAAATTGAATTAAAGGACCTGCTTCGCAAACTTTGTGAATGACGCGATGATTGCTTTGTGTCGCTTCTGCCAGGATAGTTTGTCACCCTGTCTAAAGCCTGTATCTTCCTCTGGGTGTACCGTGTTCTTTCCACATTTTTCTATAATGCTAATGCTAACATTAATGTCATGTTTCTATTCAAGACTTGGTTAAACGGTTTCTTGGTTGGTCTAAATTAACGTTACTAAATATTCGTTCAGTGACCTGTCAAATGTCCGAGATGACGTTGACGCTGCGGCGTCGACGCTAAAGCGCGGTTATATTCGTCGTAGACCGTATAACGATTCGGTGTCATACAGTTTTCAGGCAGCTTGTGACAGAACCGGCGTACCGCCCATTTCTAAATCAAAGTGTATGTAACTCTGTACCTGTAACTTTCTCACTGGATCCGCCGAACTCCGTGGAAAGTATCCTGTCTACGCCAAACTTCAGGTCTGCGCTTCGCACGGGAGGGGCGGGTCTGGCCTCGGGCGCGGCCCCAGGACTGTGGGCGGCCTGCCGAGGGCGCGCACCGGGCCTGGGGTGTTCCACCGCCTGGGCCGCAGCGCGCGCCGCCTCCGCCATGTCCACGCTCAAGATGTCCGCGATGCAGAACGGCGTCGGCTTCTTGACCTGCTGGGCGGCGGGGAAACCTGCGGGGTAGCCCGCCGGCCACACGTGCAGGTAGTACGGGCTGAACGCGTTAGAAAACATGCTCACGGGTATCCGCTCCGACAAGGAACTGCAGCCAAACTACTACTAGTAACTCCGCTCGCGATCCTTCATCTATTGGCTCTCCCTTCCAGCTGCTTGAGACGCCGCACGAGTTCCTTGGCTGGCAGACCCCACAGACCGGTCCTCCCATTGGTCACGCGCTCGTTTTGCTTACAACAGACCGCAGCTCATTAGGCCCATATCTCACCAGAGATCGGCCAGCATTTCCCGTTCGTGTAATTAATATCCACGCGGCTGGACCGTTAGACTGGCACCCAGACCATCGTAGGTTGGTCGGTACCTTAACGGTGCTGCGAGTTCTACCCGCCCGCCTAGGACCATAAACGCGCGCGCAGTTTTTTCTGGTCGGTTTCTATTAGTTCGCCTACGATGCCTACGGTATGGCAATGGTTACAAAGGCGACTGGAAATAAAGCATGCCTATGTAATAGTAAGACAACAAAAACACTTTAAGTCTGCCTGTGAAGAATGGTAACGAGGCTATCGGACCGTCGCCTCGAAGATTACCCCCGCTCGCGGTGTTGAGAGTCCGGTCCGCAATTTGTTGATGTGGCTGAGCTGAGCTGCTGACATACGGCGGGACACCCGAAACCACTCCGCCGGGCCCGGAGCGGCGACTCGCCGGATAAGTTTGCAGGTTCTTGAGGAAAACTGTTGACTTAGGGGCGGAGGTAAAATTACCGAGTTTTTGCAGGGGGCAGGCGGACGGTGTTTGTTTAGTAGCAGAAGAGATTTATGCGGGTGAGAAGGTTTAGCCGTGTCGTCGGCCCAGCTGGTTCTTCGCAAAACCTCCAGCCTGATTATTGATGTAGGCGGGTCTCTTTATCTCCAAGAAGATGTGGGGAGGGAAAACTCTTCTACCTGTACCATAGCCTGGAATCCATTTCCCTTCCATTGTACCTCTATTCACTATTCACCCTAGCCTATACTTTCGATGGGTACCGGATAGATGCCAGGCTACCTGCTGGCCCTCATCAGGCCTTCCTAAGGGTTGCCTAAGGGCTGTCACAAGTTCGTAAGACTATTTCGACAGGCACCCAACTACGTTGTCTACATGTACAGCAGGGTCAGTGCAAAAAGAAACCAAAGCCACACATCTGCTTTGAGATCACAATTCTGCCGAGTACACTAGAAACACCGGATGGCAACATCCAACAGGCCTTACATTTTCTGATACACCTGCCTAGTGTCCACCAGTAGTACCACACACACACCATGGCACTAGAAGTAGGCACAGCTACAATGTGCTATACATCGCTGCCGCCAAAGAGGAATCAAGACACTGCGAATAGGTGCATTGTTGTATCCCTACTGTACTGCAGGATGGTTTCAACTAAAACACCACTAAATTTCCCTTTCTACAGCGAAATGTCCTCAGTGAAAATACATGAAGTTACAGTATAAAGGAGAATGGGCGTTTAAATCGGCAGTGTAAACTCACAAAACAGTAACTATCCTGAGGGTGGGCGGTGCACATTTAATCACCTAACAGGTTTATTTACTCAAGGCCAATTAAAACTGTCTTGTTTATGAAACAATTTGGCGACTCGCGAGATATCCTGCGCAGCTCCGGCGGTTTGATATACGGTTATCTGGACCAGTTATCGAATAATTGCGGATGATATAATGAAGAGATCGGTTTACGACGGCGCAAAACAATTTGTAGGCCGTGGGTGGGATGAGGGGATCGTCTTACTGCCTGATAGTCGGGCTGGAAGGACGGGGTCATTTGTCACTGCCCGCGATGATAGAAGAAGGCTCGGATCTGTCGCATTGCTCCGCTTGATCTCCACTTAAATCAGAAACCCATACTCCCTTAATAACGTTCTTATCGTAATGCACGAAGGACGCGTCTCAATTCTGTAGTGGTTTATCTTCGCTTGATCGTGTCGACAATTCGGGGACTTTATTTTCCGCCCTTTTCCGAGCACATACACAGCAGAAGTCAGGAACGAACGCCAGACAGAAAACGTCGTTTATTCGTTGTAGATGTATGATTTGATGTGAGAAATTAAGCTGCTTACGATGACGAAATAATGGATACGTGGATTTAGTTAACTTGCAGACTCGTGGTTGGCCGTTTGCCGATCGACTAGCGCCTAGCCTCCATACAAACGGGTACCAGGCTGCCTCGCCGGATTGTATTGTGCTTAATTTATGCTGTTTTCTGATTGTAGACCAGTTTTCTGACCACCAGAAGCCGATAGCAATCAGAAAACAGCACATGATGATGATACATATGGAGGCTAGCTCGCGCTACCAGGCCTGATGACCGATGTCCCGAACGTGTCCCATTTTACTAGCCTTTACCAGACTTTGTAGGTTGCTGGAAAAATAGTCTGCATCGCAGGTGCGACTGGATTACAGTTTTTATGATCCGTTTGTATCCGATTATTAAATCCGAGGATTGCCGTCTTCCGACCTGTTACGACTGCTTTAAAACCCCGGGTGACGCATGCGCACGGACGGCCGCCGCCTGTGTTGAGTTGTGATGGGGAAAAGAGCCGGGAATATTTGTTTGTTCTAATCCCAGCGCCGACTCGCCGTCTCGACTTTACTTACTTGAAGTATTTATCACTTCCCCTTATTGACTTCCTTCACTCACGGGTATAAAAACACGTCTTTTCACCAACTTCTCCCTTCTGCGCTGTTCGGAGTTTTACTCTGGCCGGATTTAAGTCTTTTGTGTTTGTATCTTCGGCCATATGGGGATAGTTTAGATATGACAATATTGTCCCGCGGGATGTACCGCAGAAATCAACACATCGTGGTGGCTGACAGCACTATCGGAGGTAATAATAACAATTTACTTCCCAAATGGGCCTCCAGCCATCGCAGATTGGCGCCTGGGAAAATCTATGAGGGCTCGGGTCGGTGGGGACGTGTCGGTGTTTGTTGGCGGGTGACGGCGACCACTAGCCTGGAAGCCAGACCATCGATTGTAGGCTTGCAGGTATCAAGGTGCTGGGAGTGTTGCCCGTCCACCCAGGACCTTAAGCGCATGTCTAGGATTTTTTTTAAATTTTGTCGCCTACGATGACGGCAACAATGAGAAAGGCCTGTCAGGAGAGGCCTATCCTCTATAGTAGGACTGGGGCAGGTAAAATACCCGGTTTGCCTCAGGAGAATGGTAACCAGGCTAGGCGACCACCCACCCGCGCGCGTCACCGCCCCAAACACCGATCGCTCTCTGTCATCGGGCCCGCTGCCATTCCGCAGGTCCCGCATTTTTGTTAGTCACTTACATGAAATAACACTGACAGGGTCGGCCTCATAAATCTTTCACGGGGCCGCCGCGATTCCTCGGCCCTGACAATCTCAGCCGGCCCGAATGTCAGTGTTCCGGTAAAATGGGACAGATGCATTCGGGACATAGAACATCGGGGTGGTGTTAGCTAGACCCAATATAGTTGTCGTTTTGGGATGATCATGTGCTGTTTCCTAGTGTTAACCAGTTACCAGAAACTGGTGAACAATAAGGAAACAGCGAAAAAAAACGTCGACGCAGCCTGCTCTGAGTTCAAGCCAAAACTTTATCAAATCAATGCAACGCGGAACTGTTGAAACGTCAGCAATGTTCGTTAGTGCCAGCTGAAAGAAAAGTTGTCAAGTTCTACAGCACGTGTTGGTTTTTCTTTACATTTAACATTTCACTGGTCAAACTGTGAACTCAAAGATTTCAACCTTTGACAATAAATGTATTATTTTTATGTGGTTGTTCAACATATAGATTATAAGATTTATAAGACGTAGAAGCAGATTGGGCTATTGAATTCTCAAGTTTACTATCCACAAAACATGCCTAGTTGTTTTCCCTTGTTTCACAGGAGTGTCAGACATCGTAACTTACATGCATCATCTTTAATAAATAAACCATAGTCACTGAAGTTTGATTAATTGTGTTACATATATTTCCGTGTGGCTACAGGTGTGTTCCGCCGATGACGTCACCGATGACGCCGATGTACCTGCGCTGCGTCAGCTGTTTTGTGACTCCCTGTGCCGACCTCTAGCCTCATCAGCAGGCTCTACGTGTCGGTCTCTTCTGGGCGGGGGTTTATAATAATGTGCTCTTTTTCTGATGGCATATCAGTTACTTCGTTTCTCGTGGGCCATCTCCGGACATAAGAAACTGAGTTGTACAAATAGAACTGATATGCCATTATAAGCCTCCGAAGACCCTGTTCATGAGGCTGCCTCATGCCGTCCCCCCAGCTGTCTGAACCGGCCAGAACAGGGAAGTACTGATATTTTTCCATAGCATTTTTAAAAATCTTTATCTATCAAGAACTGCCAACGAAACATTACATGGGCAGTCCAGATATCATGGGTATTATCGCCCTACTCGTAAAACTAATGAACATCCCCTTTCCAGCGACCGCTGAGCGCCCAGAGATTTTACGGATCGCTCAACGAATTTCATCGACAAAGAACGAATTTTGTGACGTTTAGAGATCTAGTGCGTTTTGTTGTCTTTTAAATCATACTTTTACCGGTTACAGTATATTTAAATTGTAAAATCAAGGGTCACAGAAATTTGGTTACTGTGCGGTCGTTGAGCGATCGCAGTCTGGTGGAATGGGGCTTTACTCCAGATTCACGATGCGAACATTTTGTATTTACTATGTTCAGTAGGAAATAGACGCACCTTCTACCTATAGTATACAAGAATCGGAATGCAGTTGTGAAAATTAGTCTTATCTATGGAAATGATAGAGAGATAATTAAATAATCATTTAATCAATAACAGGACCTGTGGCTTTGGGGAAGGAGTTAGAACCATTGACAACTCTATCCTTCATCTACAAGTGTTGCATGTATTTCAATCGTGATACAATGTCGGTAAAACTGGGGGGGGGGGCTAACCTGTTCCTCCTTTTCAGAAGGCTTTCATTATTCCAAGATGCATCGACGGACAAGATTCAAGAGGACGTCGCCATTTTACTGTCAGGTACCCATGTGAAAAAAAAAAAGTTGTGTAAAGTCCCTTTCCCAAGGGCACATGTACAGCGTCGGGCCCAGAGCTGCCAGGAATCAAACCCACGACCTCTCGATCCCGTGTCTGCTAGACTTACCACTAGGCCACACCTGACACTGGGCAGGCTCATAAACACTGCCAGGAGACGCCAGCTACAACCTACATGTTATAGGAAGTCGTGCGCAGACGTCAGTTCCAGGAATTTTGGAAATACAACATCAACGGGGAACGTATATAGTAACAACGGGCGACTGATTGCTTCCTGTCCGTGAATTTACGGCGGTCCACATGTTCAGACAGGAATAAATCTCTCAGGAAGTACGCGTTGTTTCTGTCTCGTTCTAAACACGGCTTAGGTTGTATCGACTTGTTTGAGCAATTTGTTACGCTTTGTTTAGACATTAAGGGAAAGGTGAAACATCATTTTGCTGTGACAAGTTCTGCTATTTTTCCAACGCTTACCCCGCGTAAAGGGCACCGTTTCACTTTGGCGAGCTTTTTCCTGCGTGACGTCGTTTAACGTAAAGAAACGTGCCAAATGGACCAAAATCGAACTCTTTGTAACGAATTCTTCAGTAATGAGTTGAAATGTGTGCCTTTTAACATATTAAACGACTTTGAAAGGACGTTTTCATTCATGTAAGAAAAGTGGTACAAGTATATCCTACTAAATGTTCTCAATGAACTTTTAACCTTTTCATGATGAATAAAATCAACACAAGTCAGATTTGAAAATGCCTGCTTGGTCGATTGACTTATAAGTTCAATCCTCTTTTTTCATCTCCAAGCAGAAGTTTGGGGTATCTGAGACGGTTTCTGATTTGGCTCAAGATCTGACCGCACAGCCACCAGTCTGCAGCCAGACCTTGGGCTCAGGCAGCTAGACATTACAATTTGCCCAAAACATCTGCTTGGAGACTAGTGTTTTACAAAGTAATGACAAGAAGCCAGTAAGCACTTTGACTCTGTCTTTATGGAGCCATCTTCCTGGAGTAACATACAACAAACAGCCACAAGGAGACATCATCAAAGTCTTGCCACCAACGTCAACAACATGGAAATAAATAAAAACCTTTCCAAGTAGAAACATAGAAATCTCTTCTACCACCCAATAAAATGATCGACCTTTGATTTTTGAAAGTAATCTCCAACAGGAGTTACAACAACGTGTAAACAGCATCACAAACAACAATCAACATCTGGTCAGGAGACACAGGAGGCATGTGGTCTGCTGGGGGAGGGACAAAAGGACTGAAGTATAGTACATAGAAATAAACATTGCTGGTCACAAAAAAACATCAACACTGCTAGAAGTGGAAAGACACTCGGAATTTGGAGAATAGTGCAAATTTTAAGCATTGTATTCAGAGTTGTTGCTGAGACTGAAAGAACATGCTGTGTCTTTGTTTCTATTGTTTCCTTTACAGAGTTTTACCTACCTTAAGATTTATCTATATTTTCCAAAATTCCCTGCAGTCTTTCAACCTTTATGAGACCAGTGTTATGAGTTTATAAAGAAAATACTACTAGTACATTGGAGGACGAACAGAAATACAGTCAAGCCTGTGCAAGTGACCACCTCTGTATAAGGAAAGGACCACCTGACCAGTGTGGCCACATTTTGGTGGTCTCTTAGTTTATTTTTCCCATTGACTCAAGCATTGATAATCTTGTCTACAGTGGCCATTTTCAAGTGCCTTGTGTGATCACTATGGACAGGTTTGACTGTAGGTACTAGAGGTACAACTGTAACTAAGAAGAGTCAAATGTGAAATTTGTATGGTCAATAAGTGAGTCGTCTACTATGCTTTGTCCTAACTACATGTACCTGATGAGGTGGCAAGATTGGCAAGAAGCTGTTTGTACTTTTACCACAATAGTTCTTGTGTAGGAATGGTTGGAATGGGAAGATCTAATACATTGAATCAGAGAGTTATACTTGCTTTTAGAGGTTTGGAGCTTTCCTTCCAGTTCAGAATACTGGTAAAATCTACTAACATAATTCTGTCAGGTCACATATTGTATATCCACCAACCTGAAATAATGTGTCCAAAGGGATCTCTAATGCAACATACCCCTATATGATATAGTCCCCTGGAAAATTATTTTCCCTTTTTGGCAAAATTCAATTTTCACCAAGTGTAGTTAGTTTGCTGGAGACTGCTATACCTGGAGGTTGCTGAACCAGAGATCTCTCAAACACACTGGTTTTTAAAGTGGCAGATCTATGTTACCTGGCAAATAGATGTTAATGGAGGTTAGAGCAAAGAGAGAGAGAGACAGACAGAGGCCCCATACAGCAGCATGCACCTACACCTGGGCTCCAGGTGGACACGATAATACAGCCATGCAAACATGCTATTGCATAGACACAGAGACTGGAGGGGGGCGCCGGCTCAGTGGGGGTTCCCCTCCTTGCTGCACGCTGCCAGCAGGTCCTGGTTTAACACCTCGATCATCGTTCGGAACGTCGGGAACGTGTCCCCGACCTTGGGGAGGTGCGTCCACTGGGGGGACAGCCTGGGAACACACAAGGTCATTGGAAGGTCATTACAGCATCAGTGTGTCAGAAATGAAAGAAAAGCTCATGAATTGAAACTACGACTAGAAAGGGATGCACAAGATCCTCATGGTGGATGATACTAGTACATGTAGCCCTACAGTTGTAGAGAGATGGGTTACCTTTTTAGATTCATCCAGTCTTTAACTTCATTTGCAAAGGATTCTGGGCTGCCTATCAGCATGGCTTCCATGTCCACCATCTGACAAAAGAGAACAAACCCTTTATGGTTTCAAACAGCCTAATAAACAAAGAAATAAATGGAAACTTCCTCAGCAGTACCAAGAAAAGCTTTCTTGGTTTTTTCCAAGTCCGAAGTCCGACCAACGTACCAAATATCTGATGATCATCAGCAAATCCATTCATAGCTAGAGTTATGCTGCCCAGTGTATGTGGAAACACAGCCAAATCCAACTTACAGAGGTAAAGAACTGAAACTAAAGCTGTAGTTGGTACTGACCTTCCCTGGGGGAATTTTCCCTGTGACCTCCTTCCCAAGAGCCATCAGCATCCCCATGGCAACTGTGTACGCTACAACACTGATTATACAACATGGCGAGTCAGTCTCAAATTACACTGCATCAAGGCAGGATACAAGTCTTGTAGGAATTCAAAAGTACCAGGGTAATGCAAGGATTTTTCAAGATTTTTTTTTTTTATTCAAGGAATCGTTTATCAAAAATGCAAACTAATGTTCTACACCAATCTGATGAAACCATTCCTACACAGACTGTTTACTGTACCTGGAGCCTCGTGAGAGGGGCAGCAGGTTGTAGAAGTAGTAGACCAGATACAGGATGGTGTTGACAAGAGTGTCGACGTCCTGAAACACAAGACAACTGTCAGTACAGACAAACTGTGATCCACCAAATGGGGAGGCCTGCGACACTGTGGGTTGGGTTCTACAACATGCGTAGGATATGCTTCTCAAACCAACAAGGTGGCAAGGTGGTGATGATTAGGGTTCTTTGCTTAGTATATAAAGGTTCTGGGTTCAAATTCCTTGCAGGCCCCAAAGTTGTGCCCTTTGGAAAGGCACTTCACACCTTTTTCCTGACTCCAGTACTACTAGGTGAACATGAGTACATGAGCTTTGGTTAGGTGTATCCTCTTGGATGGGACGTAGAGCCAGAGGTCCCATATTTGTCATACCTTGAAGTGCTTGAACACATCAAAGACCCCACCGCACTTATTGAGGAGTAGTGGTAGCTCTAAAATTTTTGTCCGTTAGCAAAGCTCTTTATGGAGTAACGAGGGAGCAGGAATCTAGGTGATCCCAGGGTGGCATTGCTAGACTGAAGCGCAAGTGATAGTGTATCACCTCATCACACTGGTGCTCACCCAAAACACCTTCACAACATAAAACACCCCTAACTGGCTATGGTACAATCTGTGGATTAGTATCTACTGAACACCTGTTTACTTCCACCCGGGGCCAGTCCACTTCCCTCCGGGGGTGTCCAACCCTACATTAGACATGTTAGAACAGACAATATGAATGTGTCAAATCATGCATCCTAACTTTTCTTCTCCTAACTTCTGCAAAATCTTTATCTTGCAACATCTGAGAACCAAAAAAACACATTGGTGTAGCCTTACATGTACATGTATCTTACAAGCTACATATAACAACTAAATTCTTCATACATGATAAATTTGATTTTTTTTTTCTAATGTAGTGGGATTTGGACCATCCTTTAATACATTTAATTGTCAGTTTGTAGTCAAGAGTGGTTTGATCTCATTTGTAAACTTACACAGAAAGTGTATGAATAATCTTTTGTAAAAGAAGGATTCTATTGTTAACTATAGATGTTTCCCATCCTCACCATTCCGTTTCCTCCCTTCTTCACTTCATCTGTGATGCGGTTCCAGATCCACTCCATCTCGGAGTGGTACTGACTGGTGCGGGTTTTTGTTGTGGCTGTGTCCATGGAGAAGAGAATATTTCCTTCCCTGTGAGGCATAAAAATCATTATTAGCCAGGATTTCTGCTGATTATAAGAATAAAGGTGAAAACATTTGATTCAACACAAGAAAACAGCA